CTTGAACCCCATTACCGATATTCACACAAATAATGAGGAGTCCTTCTGGAGTCATATCAAAAGGCAATTGAAAACTTTGACAGGTCAGTCGGGGATCTTATATGAGAACATCTCGATTAGGTAGGTTAGCGCATGTGGTTCAATTTTTCGGTACAATCATTTCATAATGGCACTGACACCTATTTACAGCACGTTGAGCCCTTATGTGCATGTTAAATGCCATTTACTTCTATTATCTATATATTTTCATTATTATTTCCTTTATTAGCGTGTGGAATGGAGGGTTCATTTATACTATTCATGAGTAGTATACTTCTATTTAGGAAAATTGATTCTAGGGGTGTCGGATGGTAACGTGAGTTGAACGCCCTTTAAGCAGCAATGCATGTTAGCTATCAATATGCCTAAGTCCACAGAACCCAGGGAGCAAGGCAAACTCAACTCCGACATATCCTTACTTCGAGGAGTCTCGGATAGGCTTTTCGTTCCAGGCGAGGAAACAAGCCCAAACGATACGGGTGAAAGCCGCTTTTAGACTGGAAACCTAACGGGAGGGTGGCGGCCCCCGTGCCATTTAGGTCGTCTTTGTGTCTTTCGAGGAAACTAGATTAGTGTTTCAGCTCACTTTTAGCCTGGAAGAGGAGCCCATCAGGCCATTACGCGACCTTGTGTTGCGGTGGGTGCCCACGTTGTGAGCCTACCATCGAAGAAATTCTGGACGCTTGATTGACCTGTGGCCACTACCAGTCCTTTGGAATCTGACCTGACCTAATCTGACCTGACCCGGGAGCGGCAACTTTTACCAGACCTTGTGGTACGTTGGCGTGTGGTTGAAATTTTTCACGTGCTCTGATTCACTTATCGCGTCGATCGTAAAAGCAAAGTGTGATTGCCATAAATTAACACTGCAGTGNTTTACACTGTATCCTCCGAGTTTTCCGATCGTAGTTATTTACAGTGCTCTGTCAAAGAGCACTTAACAGCGCGGACCAAAACTCCGTGCATAGCCATTTGGTTTGGTTAATTTGGTTTTGTGTGGGGCTTTTACGTGTCGTACTCACCTTTCGTTTTCCATATCACTGCTTTCATTTTGTGATTACCTGTGCTAAAAATGACGCGCGTGTCCCATCCATGTTTGATGGATAGCTGCTGGAAGAAAGTGGTCAAGGGAATCAAATGTGAAACCTGCAAACGGTGGGCACATTCTAGTTGTTCAGGTATTAGCAAAGACCACTATGCATTCTTCTGTGCAAATAGCTGGGTAGAGTGGATCTGCGAGCAGTGTAAGAACGCGGTAAGGTCTGCGTTCGCGACGCGGAAATCGGAGGCCAGAGGCAAACCGAGCAGTGAGCGTCTCGAGAGCCAAAAAACGTCGGAACCACCCAGAGAAACCTTGAGCACTTACGCTCAGGTCGCGTCAAGTCAAGAAAAAAGTAAATCGCAGGGAGAGAGTTCTTGGCAAACAGTTTTGCCGAAGACTCGGAAGGCATCAGCGGTATCCACACCGTTACAAAAGCCACTACCCGTGGTCAACCCCAAGGTAAGTCAGGGTGTAAACCGGCCCGAGCCAAACTGAGGGTCAAAACCTGGAGCGGGTAGAAATACAGTCTCACATGGAAAGAGAGATAGGTTAGAAGAAGAGCTTCAGGAGCTGCAGAAGCAAGTGAGTACCCTCCTTGCAGGAAGTATCCCCAAAGCTGAACTTAGCAGAAACCTCCTTATAATTAACAATGAGGACCTAGATATAAGAGAATCAAAAGCCCGTAGGGAAATGGACCGGCGTAGAGTCCAGGACATACTCAGGTTAGCTGGAGCTCCGCCAAACTTGACAATTAGGAGAGTACACCGGGTCGGAAGGTGGAAAACACCACCCCTGGAAGCAACACAGGCACCAGCTAGACCCATACTGGTGTAGTTTGCCAGACCGCTAGATAGGGATATGCTACTATCCCGGGCAGATTTAGTTTGGAATGCCACTAAAAGGCGTAATAGAATAGTCCCTGATGAACCTCGAGGCAGGAAAATAAATAGAAAACCGTCAACTTACACGTCAGGAAGAGAATGTTTTGGGGTTGAGCTAACGAAACTGCCCAGGGCACCACGGGTCTTAGCAAACCCGAATGTCGTAGTAATTGAAGACATCTTGGAGCATCATAGAACCTAATCCAAACATCAAACCTCTCCGAGAACACTCAAGAAACAGGCAAAACTATAAACCAATGAGCTGTCTGTGCCTATCACTTGGACATTGGACATTGGACAGTTAAGGTTATAACTTGGGAATGGTTGTTTTTGTTCCAATAGCTTGTTAGAGAGGCTAAAGTAGTTGCATGTAAATGCATCTAAATAGTAATAATAATAACATTAATAATAATAATAATGGTATATTTTACGAGCCCGTGATGCACGAAGAAAGCATGATCATATGTACATTTTAGCCACATGTACAACAAACATGCAAACATTCGAGCGGTTCTCACGCTTTAGCAGAAATACAGATAGAGAAGATGAGTTAATTACCAGTTTGAGTAAAGAAATGGATCGAGTACTACAATGTAAATGGACCACAAAGCAAACGGGGTCACGAAGATACACGGAAACGCGATCACGTTGCCCAAAATGAGCGAGTCCATGGAATTTGTATGAAGTTTGAAAATGCAATGATCAAGCGAGAAACATAAGACAGGTAGAAGTTCAGTGCTTCAGCTATCAAATTGGAAGATGGACGGACGCAGATGTGAATGAATAGAGGCAAATAGAACAGTGAGTTGATGCATTTATCGAAGTAAATGCACTCCAGTGCGACACAGTTGACTACTGTAAAGTCTCAAATAATGGTTTCAGGGTTTCGGTCGGTAATGTATTTATTTGGGTAATTTAGGAGTTGGTCGCTTTGCTGTGGGGTTTTTTGCACTCTAGATACCTAATCTTAAAACACCTTGTTGGTGAGACAGGGGTGTTTGATTCTCAAACTGTTCCGGAATACAGATAATGTAGTCAAAACGGTGGAGACAGCCGGGTCAAACAACCATCGCCGGATCCAGATTATGCCTTATGTGTATAAACCTCAAGTCCTCGACAGTCCCAGATGAAACGAATGCGAAATAAACACGAAATACTTGACAATCTGGGGTGGAAGCCCATCTGATTGAAGGTGAGAGGAGGAAATATTGGCTTACGATAGAAACCAACGAGCGGGTGATAACCCTGCCAGCAAAAGCGCTCCTAGAGTGCGACTCCAGTGCGCCCAGAGTGCGAAAATGGCACACGTTTTTTCGCACTTTTATCGGGACTGACCGAGCGACCCTTTATAACGGCAATCTTCCAAACTCTTAACGACCAAATCCCAGCGTTGAGAAATAAACTACTCCAGCCTTACATGACGTGCATAATACCCCTATTCTCTCCCACTTAGCCCAATTGTGCCCCATATCCTCCATGTTAACATGAGGGATACAAACCGAAATATAAAGTTCAAGAAAACGGGTAGCTAAAAATAGAACCCATTGGTGATCTGAAAATTTTAAGCCCTATAGGTGCTTTAAGTAAATGAGTTTTCACCGTACATCTTCATATTCCGTTGATGAAACTGTAAAACTAGAGCAGAGTACTATTCACAGATTGTGACTGACAACGTGAACACAGCTACCTGGTTAGCATGTGTCAGGGGAGGAGCGAAATACAGATTGGAAAGTGGGTGATGTGGAACTACAGTATTAGGAGATTTGAGTGACTATACTTTGGGTAGTATTCACCGTTTCGCATTATATTCCACTGATAAAGTTTTGACACTGTATCTGTGAACGATTAAGGAATTGAGTAGTGAATTTTGCCACAACTGCTACTATATTTCATGAAACCCGTGGAGCATGCTGAGAAGTATTCTTAAATGTAAAAAATAGTGTAAAAATATGGGATTTAGTCAGACAATAACAGCATAACGGTAGTGTGAACTGAAATTACAGATGAATGCAGTGGTAAACGTATACGTGCAGTTTGCACATTGCAGTGAAAGTGAACCACACTTCAGGTAGAGGTGTCCAAGAAAGTACTCGCGAGCAAGTGTGATAATCACATTAGGATTATCGTTTTTTATGGAGAAGAAAACAGTAAATAACTGCATGCACTGGAGAAAAAAGAGCTGATTGATAAATATTGCAATAAAATTAACTTCAGGGAGCAGGAATAGGATAATTGGGGGGACAGAGTTAACTTGCAGAAGGAGGTAAACGAGCAAATCAGAGGAGTACAGTCTGATAAAAAGCACGGTGAATGGCTTTACACAAATGGTGCCAGGAATTGGTTCGAATCGACTGTCTTCTGTAACGCTTCAATGGTTTTACTAGTAAAGGACTGTCGGATAATAATAATAATAACAATAATAATAATAATAACGGTATATTTCACGAGGCCCGTGAAGCATGCTGGTACGCATGATCGAATGTACAACAATGAAAAAAGATGAAGGTTGAGAACCAAAAGTAATAGTACAAAGAGAGTACGAACCTTATTTTCGATTGGGATAGAATATATCGTAAAGATGCATTGTGGTGAAAAAGAAACACAAAGCGGACAAGGTCATATAATGGAGTACAGAGAGTGACCTGTTATGAAGAGCACATAAAGGTAAACTTTTGTATTATGAAGAACACTTGGGAAGACACAGAACTGGAGGTAGGAATATCCGCTCGGGAGATAATGCGCGAAAATGAGTTCGAAGAACAGAATGAGATTAGTCAATGTGAAATATTCGTAGTTTCCGAAAGAGCTGCAATCGAGCCAAAGAAATGCACAGTGATGCAAAAAGGAAGGCAAATACCTTATAAATGAACGGTTTCAACGGTGGATACAGATGGAATGTCGTCTGTGAACTAGGAACAATGAGTCGTGGGGCTTCACCTTTAACGGATTGTCTGGTTTATATTATTTATAATATTTAGGCGTTGGTTGCCTTGATGTAGGACTGACTACACATTGGACACCCAACCTCAAAACACCCTTTAGGTAAGGCATGGGATGTGATCCTCGGCCTTGTCTGAAATGCGCACGCGTGTAGTCAAACCGGTGGAGACAGCCGCGTCCAACAACCACTGCCGGAGCCAGATTGTCCACTGTGGGCGTAGAGCCCAAGCCTTCAACAGGCCCATTACCGCTGAATCTGGAATGGAGAGAAGAGACTCGGCATTCTGGGGTGGGAACCCACCTGATAAGGGGAGAAGGGAAAAGCAGCAACTAAAAAAATGCGAACACTGCGTAATAAGAATTCAAATTGCAAATGATATTTCAAATTTCAGGACGTGAGAAGGCCTTCGCCTGTGAAGTGTCTTGGTAGAGGCGTCCTAAGATTGACTCACCTGCGAGTCGGTATTTTTACCGGTTTGACCGTTTCAAAGTTATCTGGAATTAGAGAAGAGAAGAGGAAATGGCGCAGCCTTTGTTTCTACTACAGGCAGGGCTTCCGAAATTGGCCGTGCCATTTTCTGTTATCGCCTGAGCTTTGATTTGTTCATCAACTAACCTCTAGATATACTTTTTTATCAATTACGGTGATCTCAATGATAACCTTCAACGCACTCAGGTTAATTTCCTTACGAGTATCCGTGGAATATATCAACGAACCGTCTTTACATGCCTTTTCTCGTCTTGTGAAAACGAAGGTTAAAAGGATCACCAGAGATTCACACGGCAAACGGAAAAAACATCGCGCTGGCTGACACGTTGCACTTGAGCACCGCAACCTGAAGAGCACTGATTTTCCTACCATTTTGTCGTCGAATTTCGGCTCAATTCCTACTAAGCTATCGGAGATCGGTCTTCTGATTCACTGTTGAGAGTACTCCAAAACGTGTGCTACTTTTCCAAGAATCTTGGTTATAAGAATCCGTCGATGACGAATTGGTTCCGATCGAAAGCTTCCAATTATTTCAAGCAGATAGACCTCCAGGAAGGAAAACTGAAGGTGGAGGCGTCATCACTTATGTGCGCCGGTTGTGGTGTAACTTCACCAAATGTATATCTACTCACTGCACATAAAACATTTCTTGTATATCTGTGGAATGTCAACTGTCAAAAGTCAGTTCTTCAGGATATTCTCTCGACACATTTTCTCTGGTCCACTGGACACGAATCACCTTTGGGAAAGGAATCACAGTCGTTTATTTATAACCATGAACCAATCAGATTGTTCGACGGGCAAAATTCAAGTCTTACACGGACCAATCGTAAAAACACAATTGATGCAGTAAAACAAACAATCATTTTAAACAACACTTTCCAACACATCCTTCTTCTTTTGAAAGATTTTCATTATGATCCTGATTGGTATATTCGTCCACTTCGTGATCGGGATGTAGATTGTGCTGTCTCCCCGTCGTTGCTATTCCTAGTCGCGGTTCTTGTACACAGATCTCTGCAACCTCCTGAACAGTATTTGGATCGTCTCTTCCTTCTTCTTTGTAAGCATTCTCTTTTTCCCTTTCCTCAAATGAACTTTCTTCATAAATTCGTGTATGAACTTGTACGGTTTGTGTTCCTTTCACTCTCTGTTTTCGCTCTGATCCCCACCATTTTTTAAAATTTATCATTGTCTACCTATGTACTAACACTGCTATTGTACGTGGCACATAAAACCAGGTGCCTGTGACCACTTTCTAAACAGAATCTCTATCAGTACACCGATTCAGCTTGAAAGCTGTATCTGTGGAACACATTCCATCTTATACATACTCCTAGAAGTATTGTGACCACTAATTTACTATTTGAATTACTCCTCAATCTTGGTACATACTCCTACAAGTATTGTGACCACATATTTACTATTCGAATTATCCTTGGTACATACTCCTAGAAGTATTGTGACCACTTATTTACTATTTGAATTACTCCTCAAGTCGTCTTCGCTCGAATCTCGTTGACTACACTTCGTGGCACATGCAAACCAGGTAGCTGTGACCACTTTCTAAACAGAACCTTTATCAGTATTCGTGGCACATGCAAACCAGGTGCCTGTGACCACTTTCTAAACAGAATCTCTATCAGTGTTCGTGGCACATGCACACCAGGTGCCTGTGAACACTTTCTAAACAGAATCTCTATGAGTAATCAAATTCGTGGCACATGCAAACCAGGTGCCTGCGAACACTTTTTAAACAGAATCTCTATCAGTACATCGATTCATTCAAAGCTGTATCTGTGGAACACATTCCATCTTGGTACATACTCCTAGAAGTGTTGTTCAAAGCTGTATCTGTGGAACACATCACATCTTGGTACATACTTCTAGACGTAGTGTGATCCACTTATTTACTATTTGAATTACTCCCCACCTCGTCTTCGCTCGAATCTGTTCACTAAATTTATTTACTATTTGAATTACTCCCCACCTCGTCTTCGCTCGAATTTGTTGACTAAACTTCATGGCACATCGTGGCACATGCAAACCAGGTGCCTGTGACCACTTTCTAAACAGAATCTATAGTACACCCGATTCAGCTTCAAAGCTGTATCTGTGGAACACATTCCCTCTTGGTACATACTCCTAGAAGTATTGTGACCACTTATTTACTATTTGAATTACTCCCCATCTCGTCTTCGCTCGAATCTGTTGACTAAACTTCGCTTATTTACTATTTGAATTACTCCCCACCTCGTCTTCGCTCGAATCTGTTGACTAAACATATTGGCACATGCAAACCAGGTGCCTGTGACCACTTTCTAAACAGAATCTCTATCAGTACACCGATCCAGCTGCAAAGCTGTATCTGTGGAACACATTCCATCTTGGTACATACTCCTAGAAGTATTGTGACCTTTGATCTAATATTTTGGAACACATTCCATCTTGGTACATACTCCTAGAAGTATTGTGATCACTTATTTACTATTCGAATAACATTCCATCTTGGTACATACTCCTAGAAGTATTGTGACCACTTATTTACTATTCGAATGCCTCCTCACCATGTCTTCGCTCGAATTTGTTGACTCAACTTCGTGGCACATGCAAACCAAGTGCCTGTGACCACTTTCTAAACAGAATCTCTATCAGTACGCGATTCAGCTTCAAAGCTGTATCTGTGGAACACATTCCATCTTGGTACATACTCCTTCGATAATTGTGACCACTTATTCACCATTTGAATAATTCCGCAATCGTCTTCGCTCGAATTTGTTGACTCGCAGTATTGTGACCACTTATTTACTATTTGATATGCTCCTCACCTTGTATTCGCTCGAATGTGTTGACTACACTTCGTGGCACATGCAAACCAGGTGCATGTGACCACTTTCTAAACAGAATCTCTATCAGCCACCGATCCAGCTTCAAAGCTGTATCTGTGGAACACATTCCATCTTGGTACATACTCCTATACCGATTCAGCTTCGAAGGCTGTATCTGTGGAACACATTCCATCTTGGTACATACTCCTAGAAGTAATGTGACCACTTATTTACTATTTGAATTACTCCCCACCTCGTTTTCGCTGGAATTTGTTAAATAAACTTCATGGCACATGCATATCAGGTACTGTGACCACTTTCTAAACAGAATCTCTATCAGTACACCGATTCAGCTTCAAAGCTGTATCTATGTGACCACTTTCTAAACAGAATCTCTATCAGTACACCGATTCAGCTTCAAAGCTGTAACTGCGGAACACATTCCATCTTGGTACATACTCTTAGAAGTATTGTGACCACTTATTCACTATTTCAATTACCCACCTCGTATTCGCTCGAATCTGTTGACTAAACTTCGTGGCACATGCAAACCAGGTGCCCGTGACCACTTTCTTACAGAATCTCTATCAGTACACCGATTCAGCTTCAAAGCTGTATCTGTGGAACACATTCCATCTTGGTACATACTCTTAGAAGTATTGTGACCACTTATTCACTATTTGAATTACTCCCCATCCAGAATCTCTATCAGTACACCGATTCAGCTTGAAAGCTGTATCTGTGGAACGGATTCCAACGGGTACATACACCTAGAAGTATTGTGACCACTTATTTACTATTTGAATTACTCCTCACCTCTCTTGGAACACATTCCATCTTGGTACATACTCCTAGAAGTATTGTGACCACTTATATACTATTCACATTCCATCTTGGTACATACTCCTAGAAGTCTTGTGACCACTTATTTACTATTTGAATCACATTCCATCTTGGTACATACTCCTAGAAGTATTGTGACCACTTATTTACTATTCGAATGCCTCCTCAACACGTTTTCGCTCGAATTTGTTGACTCAACGTCTTGACACATGCAAACCATGTGCCTGTGACCACTTTCTAAACAGAACCTCTATCAGTACACCGATTCAGCTTCAAAGCTGTATCTGTGGAACACAATCCATCTTGGTACATACTCCTAGAAGTATTGTGACCAGAGCTGTATCTGTGGCACACATTCCATCTTGGTACATACTCCTAGAAGTATTGTGACCACTTATTTACTATTTGAACCTCTTGGTACATACTCCTAGAAGTATTGTGACCACTTATTTACTATTCGAATGACGTTTTCGCTCGAATCTGTTCACTAAACTTCGTTGGCACATGCAAACCAGGTGCTTCCAACTTGGTACATACTCCTAGAAGTATTGTGACCACTTATTTACTATCTGAATTATTCCCACCTCGTCTTCGCTCGAATTTGTTGACTAAACTTCGTGGCACATGCAAACCAGGTGGCTGTGACCACGTTCTAAACAGAATCTCTATCACTACACCGATCTTTTTAAACAGAATCTCTATCAGTACACCGATTCAGCTTCAAAGCTGTATCTGTGGATCATATTCCATCTTGGTACATACTCCTAGAAGTATTGTGACCACTTATTTACTATTCGAATTACGCTCACCTCGTCTTCGCTCGAATTTGTTGACTCAACTTCGTGGCACATGCAAACCAGGTGCCTGTGACCACTATCTAAACAGAATCTCTATCAGTACACCGATCCAGCTTCATGCTGTATCTGTGGAACACATTCCATCTTGGTACATACTCCTAGAAGTAATGTGACCACTTATTTACTCTGTATCTGTGGAACACATTCCATCTTGGTACATACTCCTAGAAGTATTGTGACCACTTCTTTACTATTCGAATTTCTCCCCACCACGTCTTCGCTCGAATTTGTTGACTCAACTTCGTGGCACATGCAAACCAGGTTACTCCCCACCTCGTCTTCGCTCGAATTTCTTGAATAAACATCGCGGCAAATACATATCAGAGAGTGTCACCACGTTTTCGCTCGAATTTGTTGACTCAACTTCGTGGCACATGCAAACCAGGTGCCTGTGACCACTTTCTAAACAGAATCTCTATCACACATGCAAACCAGGTGCCTGTGACCACTTTCTAAACAGAATCTCTAGCAGTACACCGATTCAGCTTCAAAGCTGTATCTGTGGAACACATCAACCTCGTCTTCGCTCGAATCTGTTGACTAAACTTCGTGGCACATGCAAACCAGGTGCCCGCAACACGTTTTCGCTCGAATTTGTTGACTCCACATGCAAACCAGGTGCCTGTGACCACTTTCTAAACAGAATCTCTATCAGTACACCGATCCAGCTTCAAAGCTGTATCCGTGACCACTTTCTAAACAGAATCTCTATCAGTACACTGATTCAGCTTCAAAGCTCAATCTTTGGAACACAATCCATCTTGGTACATACTCCTAGAAGTATTGTGACCACTTATTTACTATTTCAACACATTCCATCTTGGTACATACTCTTAGAAGTATTGTGACCACTTATTCACTATTTGAGTACTCCCAACCTCGTCTTCGCTCGAATCTGTTGAAAACGTTCCGTCTGGTGCATACTCCTAGAACTAATGTGACCACTGATTGACTATTCCAAAACTAAACTTCGTGGCACATGCAAACCAAGTGCCTGTGACCACTTTCTAAACAGAATCTCTATCAGTATTCGTGGCACATGCACACCAGGTGCCTGTGAACACTTTCTAAACAGAATCTCTATGAGTAATCAAATTCGTGGCACATGCAAACCAGGTGCCTGCGAACACTTTTTAAACAGAATCTCTATCAGTACATCGATTCAGCTTCAATGCTGTATCTGTGGAACACATTCCATCTTGGTACATACTCCTAGAAGTAATGTGACCACTTATTTACTCTGTGGAACACATTCCATCTTGGTACATACTCCTAGAAGTATTGTGACCACTTGGTTACTATTTGAATTACTCCCCACCTCGTCTTCGCTCGAATCTGTTGACTAAACTTCGTGGGAAATGGTAACGAGGTGCCTGTGACCACTTTCTAAACAGAATCTCTATCAGTACACCGATTCAGCTTCAAAGTTGATTCTTGGAACACATTCCATCTTGGTACATACTCCTAGAAGTATTGTGACCACTTATATACTATTACATTCCATCTTGGTACATACTCCTAGCAGTATTGTGACCACTTATTTACTATTTGAATTGCTCTTGGTACATACTCCTAGAAGTATTGTGACCACTTATTTACCTATTCGAATTACTCCTCACCACGTTTTCGCTCGAATTTGTTGACTCCTTCGTGGCACATTCAAACCAGGTAGCTGTGACCACTTTCTAAACAGAATCTCTATCAGTACACCGATTCAGCTTTAACGCTGTATCTGTGGAACACATTCCATCTTGGTACATACTCCTAGAAGTAATGTGACCACTTATTTACTCTGTGGAACACATATCTTGGTACATACTCCTAGAAGTATTGTGACCACTCATTTACTATTTGAATTACTCTTCCATCTTGGTACATACTCCTAGAAGTATTGTGACCACTTATTTACTATTCGGAACACATTCCATCTTGGTACATACTCCTAGAAGTATTGTGACCAATTATTTAATATTCAAATTACTCCCCACCTCGTCTTCGCTCGAATCTGTTGACTAAACTTCGTGGCACATGCAAAGTAGGTGCGTGTGACCACCCTCTAAACAGAATCTCTATCAGTACACCGATTCAGCTTCAAAGCTGTATCGGTGGAACACACTCCATCTTGGTACATACTCCTAGAAGTATTGTGACCACTTATTCACTATTTGATACACATTCCATCTTGGTACATACTCCTAGAAGTATTGTGACCACTTATTTACTATTCGAACACTCCCCACCTCGTCTTCGCTCGAATCTGTTGACTAAACTTCGTGGCACATGCAAACCAGATGTACACCGATTCAGCTTCAAAGCTGTATCGGTGGAACACATTCCATCTTGGTACATACTCT